TAAAGCCAGAATGGGAAGCTTGTGGGCTGAATGAAGGGTTTTAATCTGCATAGTGAATGGGGTTATAATATCCATTCAGAAAAAGCGGGTTCACACCAGATGTGGAAATTCTCTTGCTTTACTGAGACCTCCTGCATGAAAGTTATTGGAAAGGCTGCCTCTTCAATGAAAGGGAGACTCAATGAACTCCATACACTGACATAGGAAAGGGGTAAGAAAAGTGGTATATCAGGGTCTCCAGGAAAAAAATAGTTTCCGTTAGGAATTCTAAACTCCAAGCTTGTGCTTCAGGTGGACTTGGGATCCAAATTGATACTCTCCACTTATGATGGAGGAATCCCCAAGCAAAAAACAAAAAACAAACAACCCACATAATTCCAGGACCCACCTAATCCACTTAGGGCCTAAGGATAAGAGCACAAATTTGTTCTCTAGGGAAAGTTTATAAACCAGGGTGCATGGGACAATTGTGGGAAGAAAAAAAAAAGTTGCTGAAGAGAAGCTCACACAACTAGAGGGAGAGAGACAGAGAGAGAAAGAGAGAGAGAGAGAGAGAGATTGAAATTAAGAACAGTGGGAAAATAATTAACTGGGAGTAGGAGTAGCAAAACCCAAAACTCCAGGATGATTAGTATTCCAGAACCTAAAATTATGAAACAATTAAAAGAGAGTATAAAATAAGTAGAGATGAATCATTTGAAAAATAAAATAAATCATAGAAAATGTAACTAAAAAACCAGAACTTCAAGGAAAAAGTACAGATCAATGTTTTTTACAAGAGCCAAACAGAACTTATGGGGAAAAAAAAAAATATATATATATATATATACCAACTGATATATAAAATTCAATGGTGGGTTTAACAATAGACTTTAACTTTCAATGTCTATTACATTTATTAAAATTCAAGAGTACTCTCTAAAATACTTGTTTAAAAAGAGAATAAAAATAAAGACACTAAAATGCAACACGTAGAATAAACCAGCCCATATTCTAAGTGCTTTATACAGAGGGTGCCAAAAAAATGTATACACATTTTAAATAAGGAAAAAACTATTAAAATTGTAATGCTCAATATATACCAATAACAAAAGATGAATACAAGTCACGTTTGACTTCTGCAATTGCAAGAGGTGCTCAAAGTGGTTGCCATCAGCTTCCAGACACTTCTGATTAAGGCAAACTGCTGCTTGAGCAACGTTGACCTAAGTGTCCACTTGTGTACATTTTTTTGCATCCCCAGTATATTTCATCACTTAATGCTTAAAAACTGTGAGGTGGATATTATCCCTTTTTGTATATAAGGAACCTGAGTCTCAAAGAGATAGTTATTCTGGTTAAGATTGCCCAGTTAGCAAGTGATGGATCCAAGCCCAGATAGACTCTCTCTAGACTCCATGCTCTTGACCATGACTGCATGGTATACAACAAGAAAAAAGAGCAGAGTAAATTTTAAAAAATCACAAAATAAGATGCTAGAAATGACACATCAGTAATCACAATATGTTAAGATGGAATAAACTCGCAGGTTGAAAGATAGATTTACAGATTTTATTTGTTTACCTGAAACATAGCAAAATTAAAACTTAAAACAGATTAAGAGTTCAAAAGAATGACATACACAGGTCAAAAGTTTCAGATAGAAAAAAGATATACTAGGTAAATACTAACCAACAGAAGGAATCTTTCAAGCCTTCCACAGGTTCCCTATTTACTTGAAACCCAACTTGGTCTGCCACTGACTACCTCTGTGCCTGAGCAGAGCAAAACACTGAATGTCCCAGAGCCTTGGCTCTCTCATCTGTGAAATACAAGTAGATATAGCAGGTCCTTGAATACTGTCATTTTGTTCAACATTGTTTAGTTCTAAAATTGATTTTAAAAAAATATCAATTCCTGGCCAGGGCCACTGTGTGTAGTTTGCATGTTCTCCCATGTCTGTGTGGGTTTTCTCTGGGTACTCCAGATATTTGGGAACACTGTTTTCTAGTTTTACAGGTCCACAGATAGAGAATTACCCATACCTGACTTGGATGATTAAGATGATGAGATTTGGGACTTTTGAGCTGATAAGATTTAGACTATATACTGGACTTTGAGTTGATACTGTAATAATTGGGACTTTGGAAGATGTTAGAATGGGAAAAATTTATTTTGCATGTGGAATGGATATGAATCTTTGGGACAAAGGGAAGACTGTGGAAGCGAATGGCTTCTGAAACACGTCCATGTCCTTCTCCTCAGGATCTGTGAATGTTACGTTACATGGCAAAAGGCACTTTGCAAATGTGATTAAGTGAAGGACCTTGAGATGGCAAATTATGCTGGGTAGTCCAGTGTAATCACAGTGGTCCTTATAAGGAGGCAGCATGGTCAAAGACAGAGATGCAAAGTAGAAGCAGAGGTTGTAGTGACACAAGGGCCATAATCCAAGAAGTGTGAACAGCCTTCAGAGGTTGCAAAAGGCAAGGAAATGGATTCTTCCCTAGATCCTCCTGATGGAACACAACCCTAACGACACCTTGATTTTAGCCCACTAAGGCTGATTTTGGACTTCTGCACTCTAGAATCCTAAGAGAATAAATTTGCACTGCTTTAAACCACCAAGTTTGTGGATTTTTTTCACAACAACAATAGGAAATGAATTAGGAACCATCAAGAACATGAAGCACATATTGCCTGCTGTGCTGTAATGAAGTTCTTTGTCTCTGACCCAGGAGTCTTGTGTCTTCTGCCAGTACCCATGAAACTGAGCCAGGCTAACTTGTTCGCTTGCAACAGGGGTACAATCCTAGACCCTTCAGATTTTGACATTTAGTTCATAAAATGATAATATAATCACGGGTATTTTTCCAACTTTTAAATACCCTTCAGTCTTCCCATAAAATCTATTTCTAAATAAAATACCATTTAAATAGCTTTGAATCTTAATAAGAAATAGACCATGGTTTATATTTGGTTAAGTAAATTAGAACAATATTCATGTTAGAAGTTAATAAAATCAGCATTCTTCACTACTCTTCCTCTCTTTCCTGAAAATATCCATAAAAATGGCAAGTATCTATTTGCAAGAATGTGTTAAAGCAGCTTTAATTATAAGAAATACTCCACTTCTTGTTCTGGATAGTGTTAAGAGTTTTAAAGAATAATATTTTTCCCAAAAGACATTATAGGAAAGGGATTTCTTTTGGTGGAATAATTCCTAAATGAAATCTGGTACATGATTTGGACCGCTGGGACCCGAGAAATGATAGAAGTTAGGAGGCACTATAAACAAGGAATCATTTTAAGATGGAAATGAAAAACTGGATATGTGAAAACAAAGAACCAGAGAAATTTCCTGTGCAATCAAATGCATTTATTTTTTAGCTTTAGCAAGATAGGTGGAGAACAAATGCATAATAAAAATGCCACTCAGAGGTTAGCAGCTGACCATGCATACAGCTGACTGGGTGTGCAAAAACCAAACTATTTCTGATGCCAGTGTGTATGGTTAACTCTGTGTTGCACCAGGCCATCCTGAATATCTGTTGGTGGAGTAATTACAACATTCACCAACTCAACTCAAAGCCACATACTAGTTAGATGACCATCACTTAGACATCTACCGAGTAAACAGATAGCATGGCAAATGGCACAGCAGTATGACAAGACACAGATACACCAACACAGAGACACATAAAAGTCACCTGTCTCTCTCAGCTGATAAACTTTCCTACATTTCTTGGGGACAGGAGTGCTATGTGATATACCCGAAATCAGTACTAATTTTAGTGTGTGGGGGGGGAAGGGCTATCTCCAGGTTTGAGCAAGGGTGGCCAGGAGTTCTCAGAAGAGCTGTTTAAGCACAGCCAACAGAAATGTTGCCCAGTGACTGCATGAGACGAATCTCTTAATATCCTGGTAGACACTCAGACCCCTGGTGAAAGCTGGGATAAGAAGGGTTGAGTGGAAGGTGCAGACACTTGGGGGATCCTACAATAAAAAATAGGAGGCACTGCCCTAGTTGATAATGCTTTATGTGTACTCTAGTGTCGTATGGATGCAAACTCATAAATTCACAAAATATTAGAGATGGGATGGATTACCTACTCCAGACTCCTCACCTTACAGTTAAAAATGTGGTAGCCCAGAGAGGTAAAGCAACTTGCTAAAGGTAGAGGATGGTAGTGGCAGGGCCAGACTGGAACACAGTATGATAACCCCCATTCAGGAACGCTGACACTGAGTACATGGCCAAATTTTTCAACAACAGGAAGATGAGACAGTGTAAATACTTTATTCCCAAAAAAGGCCCAAATATGTTTAAAGGCATAAAAATTTAGCTTAATCATTTCTCTTCTAAGGGGACTCTCTTTTTTGTCTTTCTCTCTGTCTCTCTGTCTCTNTTCTGGCAGGCACCATTGCTCCTTTGTTGAGTCTTCATCCCACCCAGCTGGCAGGCGCAAGTGGGCACCATCTTTTTTAGGTCTCCATCAACCTGGTTAACACTGTTCACCCTGCCCTGGTGATTCCCTGAGACCCCACCCAACTGTTGCACCCAGCCCAAACCACTTCCAGAGGCTTTTCCACACAAGCAGCCTACATCAGCTCATGCTGAAGACTTTTCAAAAATCTTTCAAAGGTCCACAAGTCCTAAACAAGCAGCAGCTGGCCTCGGCATACCCTGTACCTCTTACTAAGCAACCCCAAGCCCAGCACAAGCATCAACCAGTCTTAACTTGCACTCTAACTCCCATCAGGTGGCCCCAAGCCTGGCATAAGCTGTGGTCAGCGTTTGCTTGGAACATAGCTTCAACTAAGCAGCCACAAAGCGCAGCACAATTGGTGACTGGCCTCAGCTCACATGATGGTGACCACCAACGGGTTCCAAGCCCGGCACTAGGGGAAACCAGCCTTGGCTCACAGCATAGCCTCTCCCAAGCGCCTCCAAGACCAAAGCGGCACAGATCACTTTGCAGCTCCTACCAGGTGGCCTCAAGCTGGGCACAAATGGCAGCTGATCTTGGCCTACATCACAGTCTCTCCTAAGAGGTACCAGGACAAATACATCTGGGGGCTGGATTCAGACCACACCAGAGCACCCCCAACCAGCTCCACAAAAACACACCCAAAGCATGGACTGAACTGGCACCAGAGCCCCACTAACTCAATTCCCATTCCGTTAGGTCAGCTTCCGNCAGACACAACATTTTCAGGGAGACAATTTACAGAGCATGTTTCTCAACCCAGGTCTTGATTTGAGGTCTGGGAAACTGGCTTATTTTCTAGAACAATAGGTGGTTCTGAAATCAGAAGGTCATCGTCCCCAAAGGAGGAGTTCTGGTCCGTGTTCACGAAGTTGGGGATGTCAAATTTCATGAGCCTGTTCAGCTCCTCCTCCGGTCGCCCGCCGCTTCTGATGGCTTCCTGGAGTTGAACATCACTGTCAAGGGCTGTGGTCTGGTGACAAGCTTTGGCCCTGTCCGAGTGTTCCACCTCATTGATGTAGCAGTGAAAGAGAGACCTGGATTCCTCATTGCCCTGCCGAGAAAACACCTTATCCGGCTCCAGCGGTCTTCCAAAGTCTGACACAAAGCTGTTCATTCTGAATCTCTTCTCTGAAGATTCTGAATTGCTGTCAAGAAAAGGGAAATAAAAGATTGCTTACACTCCAGCTCATTCTCCTGCAGGATGGTGGTTTTGGGCATGCGGGGCAGGCTGGCATATTTCCACTCAGCACATACTTAGTGCACATCCCTGTACAGAGTGTGCCAATATCAGGACTGGGAGACATCACTTCTGAACATGTACAATTAAAACCCAGGCAAACGCCTCAAGGGGAGCACCCCTGGAAAGTGACACCTTGTTGAGGAATTTCCTGATATTCTACATCATACACCAGTGTTTCTCAGTGGGACTGTTGGATCATCTGCGTCAGAATTACTTCAAGTGCTTCTTAAAACGCAGAAGCCTGAGTTGCAGACCCTCAGAATCTCCAGAGGTAGAGAGAGCCCAGTAATCTGCATTTTTATAGAATCCCCCAGGAGCACTACACATGCTCAAGTTTAGAACCACTGATCTACATCAGGCCAGCCTGAACAGCAATGTTGTCTGACAGAGATGAGTTTCATATTCATCGAAGAACTGTCATATCCATTTATCTCACTCAATTCCCCAAAACTGACGATTGCAGTCACTTAGGGCAAGAATAACTAGTCAATGTGCAAATGCAGAAACTAAGGTAAGGGGCCCACTTGAGTCACACAACCAGTTAGTGATAGGAGTGGGAATAAAACCCAGATTCCTAATCTCTTGTTTCATTTAGTGTGGAACAAATTAGCAATTCAATGGTAATAAATCAATGAATGAATTAATTAAATAACTCAATAAGTCCCTCAACTGCATGAAAGAAAGAGCATGGGCAAGTTGAATAACCTGGTGTCCCATGTACTAATCCCCATCCTTCCCAGATTTATATAAAGTCACATTTATAAAAGGTGGTGACTCCTTAAGGGCACAAATTATGTCTGAACACGTTTTCAAATCCAGAACAGAACCAAGCAAAAACTAGGCTCTTGAGTCTGTGTTCACAAGTGTGTAATATTCTCAATGACTTCAGTTCTTAAACCTCTTCCTTTCCATCCCATCACTTAGGTTAAAGTGGTGATGACCAAATTCTCATAGCGTGGGAGGAGTACAGATTCAATTTACAGGTCTGGAAAATCCTACTGTGATCACCTGGGTAGTATCAGACAAGGAATTCCTCTCAGAAGCTTGAGTTTTTCCTTTTTAGTGGTAAGTCTGGTGAAAAAATCTCACTGCCCGCTGAGCAAATGTGATGTGAAGATCACTGATTTACATGAGTACAACATTCAGTAGGGTCATGTATTCAGAATTCAGAGAAAAATCACTTTAGAGAGACTTAATGACTTCTGCTCTAATGCAAATTTAAGTGGTCTTGTCTTTTAGTAGGTGACTTGCTTTCCTTAATTGTCACTTCATTCAGGTTTAAAACATGTTTGAGAACAGAGCTGTGTCAGCAACCTGTGACCTAAAATGTTACCTGGCAACAAGAAGGGCTTAACACATTTGGGGAAAAAAAAAACACCATGATTAAGGTTGCTGGGGCCCACACCATTCCCCAGCGGCAGGGCTGAGGAGCTCTGAGTAACAGCTTTTCTGCCTGTGTGGAGCACCAGCTGAGTGTGAAAACACACCCCATAACCCATCTGTGTGCAGCAGCTCTTCCATAACACAGGCTGCATTTTCTCAGGATTGAGAACTGGGTCCACTGACCACCCTTGCTAAAGAACAGAGGCACAGGAGCCCAGTTTGTCCCCTCCCCGGGGCAGAGCCAAGGCAGTAGACATTCAGGCCCCGCTGCCATGGCCCCCTGCCCACCCCACTGCCACTGACACATTCTCCCAGTCATCTCTTCGTGTGATAACAGTTTAATTGGCCTGATTCTGCCTCCACGAGAACAAGGGAAAAGCTAATCTGTGTACTCTTAGACTCTGGTCAACATTAACATTTTATTCTCCTTTTCTTTCCTGGACTTGTATATGAATACCTGTGATCATGGACACAGCTTGCTTAGTGCAGTTTCTAGTCATCCTACCATTTGGGTAAAATCTTTGTACTGAAATCCATAGCTCTTAAGTATAAAATTCAATGTGTTTTTATTAATCTATATACCTATGTAACTATCGCCCTCAATCAAGATACACTGAATATTTCCTTTATTCTTCCATTCAATTTCCACCCTGTTAGGTAACACTGCTGTGATCTCTATTTCCATTGATGAGCTTTGCCTGTTCTTTAATGTCCAGTCCAATTCCACTTCCAATAGGCAATCTGTTTTGATTTTTATCACCACAGGCTAATTTAGCCTGTTCTTAAAATTCATGCAAATGGAATCACACAATTTATAGCCTTTTGTGCCTTCATTCTTTTGCTCAGCACCACGTTTTTGAGATTTATCCACGCTGTTGCATGTAACAAGTTTGTCCTTGTGCTTGGTCGGTGTAATTCCATTGTATAAATACAATACAATTTGTTCATTCATTTTCTTGTTAAGGGGCATTTGGGTTGTCTCCAGTTTGGGGCTGTTGTGAGTAAAACTGCTATGAACATTCTTGAAAAGTCTCTTTGTAGATATATGTTTTTATTGCTCTTGAGTACATGCCTAAGAGTAGAATTACTGGGTCACGTAGTAGGTGTGCTTAACTTTTTAAGAAACCACGAAGAGTTTTCCAAGGTGGTTGTGCCGTTTTACACCCTCACCACAGGGTATGAGAATAGAGTTGCTCCACATCCTTGTCAACATGAGGTGTTGTCAGTCTTTTTAATGTTAGCCATTCTCATGGGAGTGAAATGGAATCTCATTGTGATTTTAATGTGCATTTCTGTGATGTCTAATATATCAAGCATCTTTTCGTGTGCTTATTGGTTATTGGATTATCTTCTTTTATGAAGTGTTTTATGAGTCTTTTACTCATGTTTAAAATTGGGTTGTTTGTTTTTGGGTACTGATTTGTAGAAGTTTGGTAACATATTCTGAATACAGGTTCTTTGTCAGATATATGTATTCCAAACATTTTCTCTTGGGTTGTGTAATATATTCCGAATACAAGTCTTTTGTTAGATACATGCTTTGCAAACATTTTCTCTTCAACTGTGACTTACATTTTCATTTCCTTAAAGATGTCTTTTAATGAACAGAAGCTTTAAATTTCAGTTAAGTTCAATTTATTAACTTTTTTCTTTTGGGTTTATTGCTTTTATATCCTCTTTAAGAAATAACTCCCAACTCTAAAATCACAAAGATATCCTGGTTCTTCTAAAACCATACTGTCCAATACAGTAGCCACTTGCCACAAGTGACTATTTAA